TTTGCAAGATACATACGGATCTGAATGTAGCAGACCCATTGACTAAGCCTCTTCCACGAGCAAAACATGATCAGCACCAAGGCTCCATGGGTGTTAGAATCATTACCGTGTAATCTAGATTATTGACTCTAGTGCAAGTGGGAGACTGAAGGAAATATGCCCTAGAGGCAATAATAAAGTTATTATTTAGTTCCTTATATCATGATAAATGTTTATTATTCATGCTAGAATTGTATTAACCGGAAACATAATACTTGTGTGAATACATAGACAAACAAAGTGTCACTAGTATACCTCTACTTGACTAGCTCGTTAATCGAAGATGGTTATGTTTCCTAATAATAGACATGAGTTGTCATTTGATTAACGGGATCACATAATTAGGAGAATGATGTGATTGACATGACCCATTCCATTAGCTTAGCACCCGATCATTTAGTATGTTGCTATTGCTTTCTTCATGACTTATACATGTTCCTATGACTATGAGATTATGCAACTCCCGTTTACCGGAGGAACACTTTGTGTGCTACCAAACGTCACAACGTAACTGGGTGATTATAAAGGTGCTCTACAGGTGTCTCCAAAGGTACATGTTGGGTTGGCATATTTCGAGATTAGGATTTGTCGGTCCGATTGTTGGAGAGGTATCTCTGGGCCCTCTCGGTAATGCATATCACTTAAGCCTTGCAAGCAATGCAACTAATAGGTTAGTTGCAAGATGATATATTACGGAACGAGTAAAGAGACTTGTCGGTAACGAGATTGAACTAGGTATTGAGATACCGACGATGGAATCTCGGGCAAGTAACATACTGATGACAAAGGGAAGAACGTATGTTGTTATGCCGTCTGACCGATAAAGATCTTCGTAGAATATGTAGGAGCCAATATGATCATCCAGGTTCCTCTATTGGTTATTGACCGGAGACGTGTCTCGGTCATGTCTACATTGTTCTCGAACCCGTAGGGTCCGCACGCTTAACGTTACGATGACAGGTTCATTATGAGTTTATATATTTTGATGTACCAAAGGTTGTTCGGAGTCCCGGATGTGATCACGGACTTGATGAGGAGTCTCAAAATGGTCGAGACATAAAGATCGATATATTGGACGACTATATTTGGACACCGGAAAGGTTCCGGGTGAGATTGAGACAATACCGGATCATCGGGAGGTTATCGGAACCCTCCGGGAGGTATATGGGCCTTATTGGGCCTTAGTGGAAAGGAGGGGAAAGGAGCAAGGGAGGGGGCGCGCCCCCCAAGCCCAATCCGAATTGGGAGGGGGGTCGGCCCCCCTTTCCTTCCTCCCTCCTTCCTCTTCCTTCCCTCTCCTACTCCTAATAGGAAAAGGGGGAGTCCTACTCCCGGTGAGAGTTGGACTCCCCCCCTTGGGCGCGCCACCCTCCTTGGCCAGCCCCCTCCTCCACTCCTTTATATACGGGGGCAGGGGGCACCCCAGAGACACAACAATTGATCATTGATCTCTTAGCCATGTGCGGTGCCCCCCTCTACAATAATCCTCGATAACATTGTAGCGGTGCTTAGGCGAAGCCCTGCGACGGTAGAACATCAAGACCGTCACCACACCGTTGTGCTGACGGAACTCATCCCCGACACTTTGCTGGAACAGAGTCCGGGGATCGTCATCGAGATGAACGTATGCAAAAACTCGGAGGTGCCGTAGTTTCGGTGCTTGATCGGTCGGGCCGTGAAGACGTACGACTACATCAACCGCGTTGTTATAACGCTTCCGCTTCCGGTCTACGAGGGTACGTAGACAACACTCTCCCCTCTCGTTGCTGTGCATCACCATGATCTTGCGTGTGCGTAGGAAATTTTTGAAATTACTACGTTCCCCAACACCAAATTCCTCGCCTCAACAATCGCATGAGACTTGCGAGGTTGCTTTGGTTGCACACAAATTTGGCACTTAGAACCTTTGACAATTGTAAATTTAGGGATTAAACTCAAATTTCCTAGCCGCATCATGACACCAAAGTTAATATGACAAAGTCGTGAATGCCAAACATTTGATTCGGTTTCACTGCAAACATGATTAATAACTTTAGTGAAAAAGTCTGACAAAGATAAGCGGAACAAGCCTCCGCTCTCACAGCCCTTCCCAACAAATTGTCCACACTTAGATACTACAACCTTATTGGACTCAAATACCAATCTATAACCATCTCGACACAAACGAGAACCGCTGACAAGAATTTTATTTATAGCAGGGACATGCTGCACGTTCTTCAGCCGCACAATCTTTCTCGAAGTAAACTTTAGATCAATCGTACCAACACCATGAATAGAAGCATGTGTCCCGTTTCCCATCAACACGGGTGTAGTTCTTGCGACCTGATAAGAAGAAAACATGTTTATGTCAGAACACACATGTACATTGGCACCGGTGTCAATCCACCAATCTGGAGAATGACATACTGAAAAAATGGTTGGAAATTTACCATACCCGACATCTTTCATGTCAACATCGTCAATAACAACATTAGCGGTCTTGCTATTGTTCTCATTCTGACGCATGTCCCAGCGGTCCTTGCAGGATGAAGCCCAATGTTCTTCACTGCCACATACATGGCACTTTCCTTTCTTCTTATAAGTATCCTTCTTCTTCTTGAAGTTGACAGGTTGTGGGGCTTTGTACTTGCCATCAAAATTTCCTTTTCCCGCATAGTTTTTGTTCTTGGTTTTGTGGGTTTGGAAATTTCTCTTTTGTACCAAATTGGCACTAGAATTCCCCTCATGGAAACAAGCACGTGTGTCTTTTGCCCTCGCCTTCTCTTCTACATCAAGAGTGCCAATTAGATTGACAACGGTAAACTCTTGCCCCTTATGCTTCAGAGAGGTAGAAAAATTCCTCCATGAAGGAGGAAGCTTGGCAATGAATTTGTCCGGTAACACACAATTGAGATGCTCAAGTTCTTTAGTGGGCGACTGAATCTCATGAGCCTGCTCAACAACAGAGCGGTCATCCGTCATCTTGTAGTCATGGTACTGTTCCATGATATACAACTCACTTCCCGCGTCCGTGACTCCAAACTTGGCTTCGAGCGCAGTCCACATATCTTTACCGACCATGATGGTCATGAATGGATCGACAATATTGTCGCCAAGAACACTCAAGACAGCACCCGTGAAGAGGGTGTCTGTAGCCTAGAAAGCTTGCTCTTGCTCAGTAGTCAGCTCTCCCTCTGGCTTGCCTTTAAAGGCGTGAAAACAGTTCATAGTGGTAAGCCAAAGAGCTGACCTCGCACGCCACCTCTTATAGTTCACGCCCTCAAATGGTGCGGGCTTACGAGTTGCAGCAAAAGCAATAGGAGAAAATTGCCTACACATTTCAGGTTTTTGGATTATTGAATAATTAGGCATTTTCCCGTATAGTTTAATCCAGAAAAATAATGGATAAAACATGAATAGCAATATATTGATGAAACTAGAAACTAGCAACAGTTCGTTGAGACTAGTCATGCAATCAAAATCATAAGCAAAATGCATCATATCCATGTCAATTGCTATTAGCAATAAATCAAATGCTAGCCCTAACAGTGAGGATAAGATGGCATACGGCGCAGTAGCAGAAGGTGCAGATGTCCCGATTGTCATGTCGCTGAAGAGGTCCTTGACGTCGGGGAAGAAGTCGTCGTTAGTGATGTCGCCGTTCGCAGCCACGATGAACAAGACTCCAGCAGTCGCGTAAGGACACTCCCCAAAAACCTGATCGCCCCTCTTCCGTATCGGATCACAAGAGGCGGGGGTTCGGAGGCCTGCTGTCTCACTCTCCGGTGCACGCAGGAAGCGAGATGGGAAAGAGGTAGGCGGTACAATGCTCTGGAACAATGCGAAAAGTTGTGTCTCGTTGGGAAGAGGAGCGACCTCTTATAGGAGTAACGAGATGAAACTGAAATGGACGCACTAATTCTCATTAAGGAGAGGAGAAACAGACGCACTAAAAATCCTATTAAGTGGTCAGTTTCGTCTCCCATTAGTTGGCAAGTCGTTTCAAGTTCTTGCATGACAAAATATGCTAGCACGCACGGTATGAAGAAACCAATGTACTAATGAAGAAATGAAACCGAAACCAAAATATTGATGCCATCAATGAGGAGATGAATGTCATCATTTACCACCATTCGGTTTCATTTTCCACTAGCGCAAATATTTTAACTTCTTTCTTGTCATGCATGAACGTGCCACATGGGCCTATGGGATTTTCCTAAAAATTATTGGATATAACAGATGGTTTAAATCACAATAATTCTAACAGTATGTGTCTTGGGCAATAAATAATATCATCTAAGATATTAATCTATGATACTACGCGTTACGGAGATGGTATCGTACACTAACATATGCATGATACTCACATATGATACTACCTATTAGGCTGTTCGTAGTGGGTGGTCTAAAATGACAAAAAAAAATCCCTATATTGTCCCCTCCCTCCTCCCACTATTGATTTCCTCTCTCATCTCTGGTTTTTCTTCCCCCAGTTTTTCTCTAAAAACACCTCAACCGCCCCACGTCTTATTGACTTTCTCTCTATCTCTATCTACATCTATCTATCTATCTATCTAGCTATCTATCTATATCTATATATCTATTAATACCACTTCAAAAGGACATGAGGTTTTGGTTCCTCTCTTTCTTCGTCCATACCTATATCTACATATATATCTATAATATTGCCTTCGTCCTAAATTAATTGTCTTAGATTTGTCTAGATACGAAAAACCTAAGACAATTAATTCAGCGCCAAGATTCAAAGCAACATAGACCGTTGGATCAACATGGGTGGACGGGTGAGATCTGTTGGATGTAGATATTGATTTATATCTAGCTAGTATGGATATGATAACCCTGTGGCCTCCAAATACTAGATAGATAACGTTGAAATAGGCGCACACCTGAAGCCTATATATATAGAACGCAAAAGAGAAGAGTACGTTCACTTGGTTTAGAAGACCTATTCTAGCGTGAAGATGGTTCATCGGGATCAGGGAAAGCTGGTGCAGGTGGTGGCCGCGGATGTTGGACTTGTGGCGCCGCCGAGCAGGTACGTGCTAAGCGAGGAGAATCGTCCGACCACTGTCGCTCAGCAAGCCAAGCCGGTGATCCCCATCGCGGACGTGAGCCGTCTGGCCATGCCCGATGATGTTGAGGAGGCGGCCAAGCTTCGCTCTGCGCTGCAGTCATGGGGCCTCTTTGTGGTGACCGGCCATGGCATGGCAAAGGAGTTCCTCGATGATATCCTCGAGGCGACGAGGAGGTTCTTCCACCTGCCGCTGGAGGAGAAGCAGAAGTGCGGCAATGTGATCGACGGTGTCAAGTTCCAGAATGAAGGGTACGGCATCGACTGCATCGACTCCGACGAACAGATCCTCGACTGGTGTGACCGGCTCTGGCTCCAGCTCCAGCCGAAGGACGAGAGACGTCTCTAGTTCTGGCCACAAAATCTAAGGCACCCTCAATGATTTAAAATCTTTTTTATTTGCATTTATATTGGAGATCATATATAATCTGCAGGGATCAACTACACAAGTACACCCTAGAGAGTGGGAGGGTGACCATGGATGTGCTGAAGGCCATGGCAAAGCTTCTGAATCAGGAGGAGAACTTCTTCATCAACATGGTGGGTGAGAGGTTCAAGTCATACTCGAGGTTCACCTACTACCCTCCCTGCCCACGGCCGGACCTCGTCAACGGGCTGAAGCCACACATCGACAACTCTGTCATCACACTGCTCCTCATGGACAAGGACGTCGGCGGCCTCCAGGTGCTCAAGGACGGCCACTGGGTTGATGTCCCCGTGCTCGGGAATGACCTGTTGGTCGTCGTAGGCGAGGGCATGGAGGTATGCATATACACACACAATTACTTAAGGACTTCTACAATGGACCAAAAATGCAATTATTTGCATTGATCATGAACGAGACTCTCATTTCTGTGCATACAGATCGTCAGCAATGCAATCTTCAAGGCGCCATGGCACCGTGTCGTGACGAGCGCCGACAAGGAGAGGCTGTCACTGGCGACGTTCTACCAGCCGGAGCCGGAGAGGATCATAGGGCCGCCGGGGGTACTGGTTCATGAGAAGCACCCGGCCATGTTTAAGAAGTGCCTGGTCCAGACCTTGGCCGATGGATATTGGGATGCATTTGCAGCGGGAGATCGCACCGTCGACTTCCTCAATGTCAGGATCAATGCTGAGGCTGACGCCGAACTAGAGGCGCATGCAGTGGTTGTAAACAACTAAATAATTTGCAGTAGGGAGTGAGTGCATGATGTTCCTCTCCCACTCGCATAAGTGTAATGTGAATAGGAGTTGATCGATGTACCTCATATATGATCACCTCCCTGGAATAAAATAAAGAGTCAACTACATCATTGGTACTTCAACTTGATTGAAATGGTCACTTTAATACTAAAACTTGCGGTACATATCGAACTAGTGGGCGTGGTAATACAGTGCTAATCACGGTCGGATACGAAATCAAGGATGACTAGGCGCCAAGCGAGGCTTGGGGCTGTTTTTCTTTTTGTGTGACCCTCTATATGTTTGCGAGCGTGCGTAGCCATCCCAACCATTGCCGTTTGTTGTCTAATATGGATACAGCTTCTTTATATCCTTATGGAGTGAAATAGTGAATAAGAATTTCATTCAAAATGAAAGCCTGCCACTTAACCGTGAACGTTTCATGCCTATAAATGATAATTAATCTTTCTGTATGTACATTATAATCATACCTTATAAATACATACATAAAAATAAAATGAATTTCAGAAATGTTCGTGTAATTTCAGAAAAAATCACTTGTTAACTTTAATTACATCCATATAATTAATCTATGAAATATAATAATTGGTTGCAGTCGGCCCGACCCATTTTCCACAAGTTAGTCTTTTTTTAGAAAATTTTAAAAAGGATATAAATTATCATAGTAATAAAATTCAAGTTAGATTATTTGTGCATTCTAAATAATATACATACAAATAAGTTAAATCAAAATTTTCCATGTTTTTAAAAGTCATGTATTATTATAAAACATATTTATATAATTAAGAAAATATTTGTACTCTCTCCGATCCATATTGCTTGTTGCTGAAATGTATGTATTTAGACATATTTCAGTGTTAGATGTTTGGGCGACAAGTAATATGGATCGGAGGGAGTATAATTTAGATAATATTTATTTGAGGATCGGCACTCTTGTGGGACACTAGGCTAATATTTATTTATTCATACATATTTTTTATTCAGTATTCTTTATAATATATATTTTTAGGAAACATACAAACTTTTATTAAAATAACATTTTAAAGCAGCATTATTTTTTCTAAAATCATGAATATTTTTATTAAAATTTTGAACACTGTTAGACTTATATGAGCATATATTTAAATATATAAGTACTTTTTGAAATTATTTGTACAAATATTTTGTTTATATAATTTATTTGTAATTATTTATAATACAAAATTTCATATATGTATATAATTAACATTAATAAGTGAACAGTTACGAAATTACGTGAACATTTTAAAATGTATTTTATTTTATTTTTAACCAGAGCTCCCAACTTATTACAGCTACTAACTTCCAGTTCACTAAACTTGCTTTCAAAAGAGAATTAGAACTCTATAAACTTGTGCTTCCAAGTAACAGCTGAAAATTTTCAACTAAATAACATTATATTTTTAAATTAAAATGAAAAATCTTCAATTTAAAACTAAATCACACAACTGTAGCTTTGAAAACAAAGTAATGAAGCTATCATCTCACATACATTGGCTAGATTGGAGATTCCGCCTCACGAATTAATCCCAGAAAAGAACCAGGATAGAGCTTTCGATAAATATTCTCTGTACTGCTTCAATGGAATTTCTAATGGGTGTACCGCACGAGCCGGGGAAGAGAG